ATATCAAAGATAAAACAAACTGTACACTAATGCAGTTTGATATTGAAAATTACTATCAATCAATATCAAAAGAACTGTTCATGAATGCATTGGACTTTGCTACCCAGTACACGAACATAACAGAAGAAGAAAAAAGCATTATTATAAATGCAAAAAATCCGTACTAATACATAAAGGTGAGCAATGGATAAAAATTTCTTATGACCACTTTGACATCACAATGGGATCACTAGACTCAGCTGAGTTTTCTGACCTTATAGTTCTTTTTATATTATACAACCACACAGCATATCATGAAATTAATATAACTGACATTGGATTATACAGAGACGATGGACTTATGGTTATTAAGAACTCTACAAACTTTCAAATCAATAAAATTAGAAAGATATTATATAGAGAATTTAAATGCCTTAACTTAAATATTACTGTAAGCAATAAATTGAAAAAGGTGAACTTCCTTGATATAACATTAGATTTAATGAAAAATATATACATAAAAACGACATATGCTAACCCTCTATCTATAATAAAGCTCTAAAAAATAGTGGCTACAAAAGGCCAAAACTAAATTACATAAAAAAATGAAAATGTAAAGCATAGAAACAACAGAAATAGAAAAATAATTTGGTATACACCCCTATACAACCAAACGGTACAGAACAAATTAGGAGAAAAATTCCTTACATTAATCGTTAAACATTTTCGTAAAGATAGTAAACTCAGTAATATTTTCAATAAAATACCCTAACATTAGATTACAGCTGTACTGAGAACTTAGAAAAAATTATTAAGAAACATGATGCTAATATCTTGAATAAAGACTTCGACCAAAACCAAAGAGATTTAGACAGTATAATAATAAAAAAAGATGAAGATAGATAAAAAAAATATGTAACAAAAGTGCTGAAAATCTTTTTGTCGTTAAAAAAGACCAGAAGACATGCAGAGAATGCTGCCATCATTAGTTGGAAAAGGCACCCCTACCCAACATTGATTTAACTTCCTTTCGAAAGTAACGCATATTTTGATACAATAGTTGTCAATGAAATTGAATACCTTACTGACCTTTTTTTAAGATGACTGGATTTCTACGTATCCTTAGAAACTAATATTATGAATGCATATGATTATAATATATATATATATATATATATATATATATATATATATATATATATATATTATAAGCATATGCATTCATAATATTATTAGAGAATAGTAAAAAGGATAGTATCCAGGTAGAACTCAATGTCCAGGACAGAGCAAGGATATAATATAAAGGTTGAAACACTAATATTCCATGGTTATAATTTATTATATTGGAATCGTATTACGATCAATTCATCAGACCTACAAAAAACAGGGCACACACACACACACACACATATATATATATATATATATATATATATATATATATATATATATATATATATTGTTTATTTTTATTTATTTTATAGGTCTGATGAATCGGTTCCTGATTGCGATTCTAATGTAATAAATTATAACCATCGAATATTAGTGTTTGAGCGTTATATACACACACACACACACACACACACACACACACATATATATATATATATATATATATATATATATATATATATAGAGAGAGAGAGAGAGATAGATCGATAGATAGATAGATAGATGCATAGGTATTTATTTACATACATATATATATATATATATATATATATATATATATATATATATATATATATATATATAATAATGGATTCTCCTGTTGTATTCGTTGTATATATCTATATGTGTATTTTCGACGGATTTGCACCAAAATTAACAGGCACATGCTCCAAGTTAGCGGGAAGGCCACGAGCGACTTTGCATTTCCCAATTCCCATCGATAGTGGAAATAATCGATTTTTTTCATGCTTCTACGGCAGTTTTCATGTAGTTTGCGGCCATTTTCTACTGTCCAGAGTGAGAGCCTATAGCTGGCTCCCACGAATAGGGAGGAAGATTCTATTGGCCAGCGTGAGAGCCAACAGCTGACTGATACGAATGTTAACTAGCATGCTAGCATGCAAAAGAAAATCGATAGCTGCATTCATCACAAGTGGGAAAAATTTAAATCTGCATGGCACTTTATTCCATTTGGCTCATTCGCTTGCTTAAACTCAACGTTGATTCTGATTCCGCAGAACTGGGTTGGGTGTGGAAAAGTATTTCTTGTTAACATTCTTTTTTCATTCTGTTTTTCCAGTTACGAGTCCTTTTTTAAAGCTGATCGTTTTGTGTTCATTTTGTTTAGTTCTTTTTTCGTAACAGATTTAATGTTTAGTACAGAGCTTAGAAATAATATCAATATCAGCACGGCAAAGGGCACTCCTTTAAAAGCAAGGAAGGGCAAAAATATTTTAAGTCAAGTGATAGTGATTGCTGTATGAGTTGTACGATTTTTGAATCAAGCACGGGCAGCGCCGGGCCATGATGCTAGTTCCGATATAACAGTATTTTAATAGTAAAATAAATCCTAATGCCTTCTTATTGTAAAATCATTTTCCTTATGAGTTATCTTTTGATAAAGTAGGCGCCATTGTTATTAGTTCACCTATTTGGGTAGCCCTTTTTCTTCTTTAAACAACTATATGTATATATATATTAATAATTGTGTCAATTATAATTAATGTAATTTTATAAGAATAATTGCTGTAAATTGTTACGAATTGTTATTGTTATAATTGTTGTAATTGCGGTAAAATATTGTTGCGAATAAAGAGAGGAGGAAAAAAATGTTCTCTTTTCGTTTCCATTTTTCTCTAAAACTACGTCGTTGCTCACATGTTCGATCCATGGTATCCTCAGCATCCTTCTGTAGAACTACATTTCTGTTGCTTCAAGAGAGATAGATAGATAAATAGATAGATAGATGCATGGGTATAATATTTATGTACGTATATATATATATATATATATATATATATATATATATATATATTTATAAATTCATGAATCATTCATACAAAAACAAATATAGAGGTTAATGATTGAAATGGCGAGAATACATCTTCGCAAACAATATAAATGAGATACATCAACCTGAAACCTGTATATGAATCATATGATCCCTGTTCATAAATTTCAGTTGCATAAGGTCTTTTAATTTTTACAAGCTTTCGTCTGTTCCTATTTCCATACCTGAAGATATATATATATATAATGGACTCTCCCGTTGTATTAGTCGTATATATATATATATATATATATATATATATATATATATATATATATATATATATATATATATATATATATATTTATATTTGGTTGGATAGATGTGGGTTTGTGACCCTGGGTTTCACGATTTAGCGATCGTCAGACAAACTGATTAATTTTTTTTTAATTTTTGGTTTATGTAGATTGCGTGTATTGGTGTTATTGTGGAAGTGGTGGGGGAAACGTCGTCGCTTATTTCATCGTACTAACGCAAACATCGATGTATGTTCATACGCCTAATGGAGTACGCAGACACACATACATACTTGGTCGTCTGTCGGAAACACCAATACACGCAATCTACATAAACCCAAATTTTTTTAAAAAATTAATCAGTCCAACCAAATATGTTAGTTCTATCTCTGATATTGAGTGCTTTCTAATAAGTACCGCGCATATAATATATAAATAATTATACATATATATATTAATTTATATTTATATACACACACTTTTCACACACACACACACACACACACACACACACACACACACACACACACACACACACACACACATATATATATATATATATATATATCATACTTATTATAAAACCCAGGTTGTGTGTGTGTGTATGTGTCTGTTCGTTTATATATTGTATCGGATCTCATACATTTTTCAACCGATTTCAACAAAACTTCACAGGACTACGGAAAATTACCTTGCGGTGGTTCTGACAACACCAAAAATTGGAAAAACACAATTTTTTTGCACGAAATCGATTTGAAAACACGATTAAGAGGCATTAATAAAAGGGGGACAACTCATATCAAGTTATACTTATTATAAAACACAGCTTGTGTGTGTGTGTGTGTGTGTGTGTGTGTGTGTGTGTGTGTTCGTTTATATATGGGATCGGATTTCCTACATTTTTCAACGAATTTCAACAAAATTTCACTTTTTTTTGGCAGGTAGTGTTTCTTATTGTCTTGCACACTTTTTTCTTTATTTTTATATTCAGAATGCTTTAAAAATTCCATTTACAAGTCAATTGTTTATAATAAAATTCTATTCCATCGGTAGACTCATTACGATTGAAAACAATGTTTTTGTTTGAGTTTGGGTTTGACCAATTCGAAAAAAAAAAAAAAAATAATTAAGACATGTGTGCCCGTCAACCTTAAACAATAATCTTTGTCAATTTTATTTTTCAGTCTTTATGATGGTCGATACTTGATCTATCACTTACTGTTACATCCCCGGGCAACGCCGGGCTCTACTGCTAGTATATATATATATGTTACACGAGTTCTTTGCACTGAGAAACCACGCGGACGTGTTCAAAATTCCAAGTTCCAAATATGTCGGTAAATATATGTAATGCTGGTTCAAGGATAAAATGCGTTTATTTTTTGGTTTTTAAACATTTCGGCTTAGAGAAAGTAAAATTGAATCATTTTTAATATTTCCAAATATCGAAAAGGAAAATAAAACTGTGTTGAAACATATGTAAAAGTGTTTTTAAAAAAATGCCAAACCGTATCTGGAAGAGAGAAAAACACACGAAAGATGGCGGAAAAAGGAAGGCGCTCGTTTTTGTCGGTGTGTTGAAGGAAAAGAACTCTCGATGATTTAACATTATGTGAGGCGAAATTTATATAACAAGATGGTTAAGAATAAAACAGAGAGAGAGAGAGAGAGAGAGAGAGAGGGGGGGGGAGAGTGGTCTGGAAGAGCGTAAGAGTGAGTAACAATTAGTGAGATAGGAAGGAAGAGGGCGTGTGAATGTCAGAGAAGGTGACAGAAAGAGAGAGAGAGAAAAATAAAAGAAATGCGTGAGAAACAAAATGAAAGAGACTGAGAATATGTGTAAAAATGTAAGAGAAAGAGAGAGCCAGACCAAGAGAGAGAGAATGTGTGAGTGTGAGAATAGGTGATATAGAGAGTGGTTGTTTTTTGTGAGAAAAGGTGATAGAGAGAGAAATAGAGAAAGAGAGAGAGAGATACGTGAGAAACCGAGTGAGAGAGTCTATGAGAATATGAGTAAAAAATGTAAGAGAAAATGAGAGACAAACCGGGAGAGAGACAAAGAATGTTTTCCGTTACATATATCTTATGTAAGACAAGGTGATCGAGAGAGAGAGAGAGAGAGAGGAAGAAAGAAAGAAAGAAAGAAAGAAAGAAAGAAAGAAAGAAAGGATGTGTGAGAGAGAAAGAGATATGTGAGAAGCAGCACGAGGAAGTCTATCAGAATATCTTTAAAGACTCCATGCAAGAGAAAATAAGAGATAAATATTTTATATATCCAAGGGATTGGATATATAAAACTTTCGAACAATTTTAATATAATTTATGTTCTAAAAAAAAAATAATAATAATAATAAGATCACATGAAAAATTATAAAAAGCTGCCTAGATACACACACACACACACACACACACACACACACACACACACACACACACACACACACACACACACACACACACACACACACACACACACACACACAGTGGTGTATGAGATAGCGGCTTGGATTGAGGAATCGGAGAGCCGAGTTCGAATTCCAGTCGAATCCATTACATTCACTTACGTGCTAATACCCTTGGGAAAGGTATGAATCCTCTTCCTCCAGCTATGGGTAAAATAGCAGGACAGACTGGGTTCTATAGCCTTGGATGGCAACTGGTCTAGGAGAAAGACAACTCTGAATTCAAAACCTGCGGAGGGTCGTTTGGGAACCTTGTGGCATTCGGTGCACCAGGTCTCTGTATTCGTCCCTTCAAAAAGTGTGGATGGTCCTGCACGAGGCCTTCACCACTATAATCGAATCTCATGTGCTGTTGTCGGGCTGTCGGTTTCTGGGAACTGATTTGTTTGACCCGCATACGTCGAATTTCGACCGGAGAGTCAATATATATATATATATATATATATATATATATATATATATATATATATATATATATATATATATTCGAGGATATCGTCTGCCTATTGCAGACGCAAGCTCAGGCACATTTGTATATGTTCACCACCCATATAGACCACCTGTGGTTTATACTGCAACTATCCTTCGTTACAGTTTCTGGGAAAGAGCGTATTATCTAGAATGATCAACAATTAGAATAAAGCCCGCACGCTCAACACTCGGTCACGGTGACTTGAGACTTCATGCTAGAACTGGGGGTGCCGTCTAACCAATTTCACTCAGAAGCTTCGGCCAATTCATGACATGGTTTTCCGGTATTTTACAAAGGTGCCTTACTCTGGGACAGGCTCCCCCAGACCGATAAAAACAGGAAGACTCCTTCCTGATCTATTGACCATGGTGAGATTCGAACCCGAGTCTCATGGTCCGAAAGCAAACGTTGTAACCAATGGGCCAAATATTTTATACACACACACACACACACACACACACACACACACACACACACACACACACAAAAAAAAATGTAGTTCAATGCGACGCGTTTATGTACGAAACAGCCCTTTAGGAAAAAAATAAATAGATAAATAAAATTCTCTAGGCACTTAACGACGTATTACGCTGCCGACATCTATTTTTCGCTGTGACTGACCAGACGATGTGCGTACATGAATGCCATCATTTGCTTTGAAATGGACGAACCCCCCCACGCCGCCTTACTTCGGTTTTGACCTCTTTCCGAAGGTGACTGTAGGTGGATACAAATTAACTCTTAGGCCCTTTATCAAAATGGTCGCCCCAGCCGTTTCCATAGTAATTTATTTTGCGAATGAACATGCTTATAAAGATGCGTAAATTTCAAGATTGGTTATTCCGAAATTTTCGCTTGAGGATGAACAATTTGATTTTAATAATTATATTGAGGTTTTCGGCTCTCGTTTTTGAAACATGAGAACTCTTATGTAGCGAAGGAATCTTATTTTTTTAAAATATAATTATAATTTAAGCTCTACTTCTGCATGGAGCACTGTTTTTTTTTTTTTTTAATAAAAACAAAAACGCTATAGAACCTCGGATAATTTACCTAACGTGTTCTTTCCTATTTTTCTACATATCTGCACATATACATACACACATACATACATATATACATACATATATATATATATATATATGTGTGTGTGTGTGTGTGTGTGTGTGTGAATGCGTGTGTGCATTGTTCGTGTAAAATCTAAGATGGAGTACATATGTAAAAGACAATATGAATAAAGAGAAAAGTTGAAACTTATGTCAACGCGCGCTGGGAGAGCAACGATTAAAGAAACAAAAATATCTCACTCGCTATCTCTCTCTCTCTTTCTCTCTACATTATATATATATATATATATATATATATATATATATATATATATATATATATATATATATATGTGTGTGTGTGTGTGTGTGTGTGTGTGTGTGTGTGTGTGTCAATGTCTGGACCTCCTCAAGTAATTTTCAATATGAAAGAATAGAAATATTAAATTACATCTAACTCACTCATGTCTTCTCTCCCCACCCCTCACTTCCTCACTTCGTTGTGCTTAACCGATGCCTGTCAAAAACCTGTAAATTTCTTTTCATTTTTCGTTTCAACCTTTGGAAGTAAAGTCTGATGATCTGCAGTCCTTTAAAAGGGCTGTGGTGAAATTATTTATTACATGGAACCTTAAAGTGGTTTGTTTTTATTTAAATTATTTGCTCTGGATTTACATTGAGCTCTCTGGATTTTATCCTCCTTAGGTTTACCCATACGGATTACCTAGTTTTCCATAAACTTTATATATATATATATATATATATATATATATATATATATATAAAACCATAAATTTAACGATATAGATAGTACTAATATATAACACTACAAATCAAAACCTACCCACATTTCTCACCCACACAAGACAGACATGCTTACGGAGGTGTGGAGGCCTCACACTTATACACTCACCCACACGATTATACACACGTACACACACCATACTCACTCACTACCTAATGAGCCAAATGATAATACACACACACAGCAATACACACGCTTACACATATCAAACTCACTCACTCCCTAAGAACCAAATAACACACACACAAACACTTAACAAAGACACATCCCCTCTCCAGGACCAATAAAACTGTCAAACTGACCAGGGGAATTTAGAGGAGCATAGATCCATCCAGCTCTTATCTCAAATAACAACTTAAAATAGACTGTTTGACAAACACAAGGAATGTTAAAAGATTCATGTTAAAAAGATAAAAAATAAAAAATAAAAAAAAACAAATGAAAACTACAGACAAAAGTTCATTTTCTCCATGAAGACATTCATTTCTGTAGTTCACTGCTACCAGCAAGCAGAAATATTTCTTCTCCTGATGATGGCCATTTTGGCCGAAACTAGTCGAGGAATCTAAATGAAATAATAATAAAAAAAAACGAAAGAATATTAATCTACAACCCAGTGTGTCTGAAGATTTTAATTTTTTAATATTTTTTTATTGTTCAAATATATATATATATACATACATATATATATATAAAGAGAGAGAGCGAGATAGAAATAGAGCGATATTATATATATATATATATATATATATATATATATATATATATATATATATATATATATATAAAGAAACATTATATTACAATCAAAAGAAAAGCTTTTCTTAGCCATCCCACCCTGTTTCGTCCTCTGATGGATTTATCGAGCGAGATATAAGGATTTTATTTTGTAACAAGATTTCTAAACACAATTTAAAATGTCATTAGTTTTTTCAGAATTTCTAAATTTAGGAACGCTCTTAAATACACAAATGAAAGACAAATGAAAGTCAAGAAAAACTATGGAGGATGCGAAGTGATATAATTTGATTTCCAATAAACATATGCGATTAAATGTTGATATTGTTTTTCTTGATTATTTTTTAATATATAATATAATTATTATTTTGTTCAGATTAGTTTGAGAAATCAATTTACGTGTTTATATATTTTAAATAATAGAAGGTTTTTTTTTTCAATTTTTCAATTTTTTTTTTCTTTTTGCATTTTTATAACAATTTTTTAAAACCATGTATGTTTACTTAGGGAAATGAGTATTTCTTTTAGGAAAAGATATATTTGAAAAACCTCCAGGTAGCAGATTTATATTTTGATAAGATTCAATTGACGCACCCTCAAAAATCTTCCGTCTGAGTAAGTTACTTTATTTTTTAATAAACATGTCAATCCTTTGATTGAAATTTTGCTTGAAATTATTGCGATGCATTTGATAAATTTTTTATGTATAAGATATTTTTGTTTAGATGAGATATTATGATTACTTGCAATATTTACATTATTCTCATCTTCATTGCTATATTCACAACGTTTCGGCCGTTGTAAGCTCCGGCCTTCTTCAGGTGATTGGAATTTCACTTTCATTTTGTCCACCTGCGCAGATTGTTCTAGTTCTAGCTGCCATGCTTCTTCCGGGTGTCTCAGTTATTTTCCTTTAACTCAAATTCCTAAGTTTTGGTTCACCACTGCTGTGGACTGGTATTGAACTCACAACTCGTTGGGTCTAGTCACGGGGCCGTGTATCTTTATCCACTGGGTCATGTGTCCGTGAGGACACCCGGAAGAGGCATGGGACGTGGAACTAGAACAATCTTCCCCAGTGCACGAAATGAAGTGTTCGGTTCGAATTCCATTCACCTGAAGAAGGTCGGAGCGTACAACGGCCGAAACGTTGTGAATATGGCAATGAAGAGGAGGATAACAGTCCGAACAATGTAAATAATGCAAGTAATCATAATACCTCATCTCAGTGATATAGACAGATAGTGAAAAAGGTCGGAGCCTACAAACGGTCGAAACGTTGTGAATATGGCAATGAAAATGAGGATAACAGTCTGAATAATGTAAATAATGCAAATAATCATAATACCTCATTTCAGAGATATAGAGGCCGAAATGTTGTGTATATGGCAATAAAGATGAAGATAACAGTCCGAATGTTATAAATGATGAAGGGAATCATAATACCTCATCCCAGAGATATAGAGGCCGAAACGTTGTGAATATGGCAATGAAGATGAGGATAACAGTCGGAATAATGTAAATAATGCAAGTAATCATAATACCTCATCTCAGAGATAGGAAGAGATATTGAAGAAGGCCGAAGAGTACAAAGGCCGAAACGTTGTGAATATGGCAATGAAGATGAGGATAACAGTCTGAATAATGTGAATAATGCAAGTAATCATAATACCTCATCTCAGAGATATAGACAGATACTGAAAAAGGTCGGAGCGTACAACGTTCGAAACGTTCTGAATATGACAATGAAGAAGAGGATAACAGTTCGAATAATGTGTAAAATGCAAGTAAGATATTTTTTGTGTTCATACATATTTTTTTTTTGGTTTATAATTTCGGCAAGTTTACTCAATATATTACAAGAAAGGGTTTAAATACCTGCTTCAGAATAATTATTGAAATGCATTCTTTTGTTTCTGATAGTTTTTATAACAGATGCCGTTGTACAGCAGTTACCAATATTTACCTGAAAAAGAAATAAAAAAATAATTTTGAAAATCTCCAATAACCTCATTATTTCATCTACAACGATAAATAAAACGCAATAAAAAAAAACTAAAAACAGGTGACAGTAATAACAACAAGAACAACAAACTAGAAAATATATATATATATATATATATATATATATATATAAATGAAATGGACAAAGACCGACAATTATTTTAAGATATTTTTATACATTCTTTTTATAGATACAAATATTTAAGTAAATGATCTGTTTTATAATAAGCAGTATTAAACAACATTCACCGGCCTGAATGTCCGAGAAATTTTCAAAGAAAACTTTCGTCCTCCGACAGGAATCGAACCTGTATCCTATACGGAACCGTCATATAGCCGAAACGGTTAAAACAACATCAAACGAAATAACGGTTCCGTATAGGATACAGGTTCGAATCCTGTCGGAGGACGGAAATTGTGTATGAAAATTTTGACATTCACTGGGGTAATGTTGTTTAATACTGTTATTATAACAGAGCATTTATTTAAATATTTGTAATTAAAAAAGAATGTATTTAAATATGTCTTATATATATATATATATATATATCCATATAATATATATATATATATATATATATATATATATATATATATATATATATATATATATATATATATATATATATATATATATATATATATATATATATATATATATATATATATATAAAAAAAACAGACCATTTAAGGTCCTATGTAATAAAATATTTCACCACAGCCCGTTTAAAGGGCTCTGGATCATCATAACTTATGTTATATTAAGCATAAGTGAAGTGTTTGTCTGGCCCACACCAAGTGCGGTTAGGGATAAAGAATTGAAATGGTACATCTATCTCACTCATGTCTTCTCTCCCCCCTCACTTCCTCACTTCGCCTTCTCTCCCCCCTCACTTCGTTAATTTACATATGCTTAATACGGCCCGTCAAAAATGTGTAAATTTCTTTTCATTTTTCATTTCAACCTTTGGAAGTAAAGTCTGATGATCCAGAGCCCTTTAAAAAGACTGTGGTCAAATAATTTATTACATGTAACCTTAAAGTGGTCTGTTTTTTATTCAAACATATTTGCTCTGAATTTACATTGAGCTCTCCGGATATCATCCTCCTTGGGATTACCCATATGGATTACCTTATTTTGCATAAACTATATATATATATATATATAGAGAGAGAGAGAGAAAGTTTCAAATTAAAAAATAATGTTTTATTTTATGAAAGTATTTATTTATTTATATATATATTTGATATTTCAAATTGTCCTCAATTTTTCATCAGAAATAACTGTTTGTAACAAATGAATTAAAATTACTGTATTGACAGTTATTTCTGATGAAAAATTGAGGATAATTTGAAATATCAAATATATAAATAAATAAATAAATACTTTCATAAAATAAAACATTATTATTTTTTAATTTGAAACTTTTTCTATATATACATATTAAGAAAGTATACGTGACTTCTCATTATATATATATATATATATATATATATATATATATATATATATATATATATAGATAATATTAGTGGTAAATATACATACATATGCAAAAATATATAAATACATTCATTTTTCTCTCACTTAAACCCCTTCCACCCACCTCTCCTAAAATTCTCTCTGTTAAGGTTTGATCTCCCTCCTCCTAATACTTACCTCTCTCTAAATTTTATTTTATTTCCGGAGTTTTTTTTCTGTTTTCTTTTTGAATTTGTAGGTCTGATGAATTGGATCGTATTTTGATTCCAATGGAATAAATTATGACCATGGAATATTAGTGTTTAAGCTTTTTTTTATTAAATTTATATATATATATATATATATATATATATATATATATATATATATATATATAAACCAGATATAAATGGCAACAAAATACTATTTAACTGTAAGTACATGAATTACAGTCAACACGCAAATGATGAAAAATAAAATATAACCCATATATATATATATATATATATATATATATATATATATATATATATATATATATAATTATTTATTTAAAAATATGATTCCAAATCGCGACATAAGAAGTCCCAAGTTTCAAAACAAGAGCCGAAAACTTCAATATAATTATTTAAATTAAACTGAGTTAAAATAAGCTCTGTTCCATCTTCAAGCGAAATTTTTTTGGGAATAACGTGTTTCTGGATTATTTACCTAACCAGTTCATTCCTATTTTCTATATATTTTCACACACACACACACACACATATATATATATATATATATATATGTATATATATATATAGTCACTGTCATATGAGCGAGAGATTACTTGGCCACTAATCTACAGCTCTAACCACAGAGTTCTTCCTACAGGACACAAGAAGATTTCTATAATTCTTTACCAACTAAGATCATCTTCTTTTTTCTTTTTTGTCATTGGCTCAGAAAATGTCATGTCGTCATCTTCATTCCAGTCGATATCATCAATCAGCCAAACCCATGTTGTCAGCAAGAGAAATTTTGAATTTCATGAAACTACACAGGATTTCACTTTTGTTTATCATCTCTTGCCTTGAATAACTATATATTATATATCTCATCTTTACACAGACACAGACATATATATATATATATATATATATATATATATATATATATATATATATATATGCATGTATGTATGTATTAGTGAATATACATAATGTCCAACGTCGATGTCACGACGCGGAGTTGCTTGCGGTCTTCCGGTATTGAATCTACTCAGCACCTGAAGATTGCAAGACCGCATGAAACTTCGAGTCGTGACATCGACGTTGAACATTATGTATATTCGCTAATATAAAACCAAAAAATAGGTGATATTGATAACAGCAAGAATAAACTAGATAAAAAACAAACATATAATATAAATAGCTCCTTAATATTTACTAACCAAAACCATTTATACAATCTTAACATTATAAAAATAATTACAAGGTCTTCAAGTGATGTGGCACAGTTGTGGCACCATTTAACGAGGCAGAAAAAGAAAAGAAAGAAAAGAAGAAAAGGAGAGGCTAAGGACCGAATCGTGGATGATAAGCAGAACACACACACGGCTAAGAGACGATGGATAAGGGATATTTTGATAAGTAACAAATGGCGAAAGGGAGTCATTACAATGACAGGGAAATTCTGAGTAAAAAGAAAGGGAAAGAAAGAAAGAATCAGATATGTTTTGGCGACGGCTGTGTTATCTAAGGATATGAAAACAAACTATTGGTACGGGAAGGCATCTTATTATCAACTACAGACCGACTGGCCAAGGAAAAATTCAAATGAATATGTAATTTCGATAAGTGACGTAAAACAGGCAACTAAAAGGACTTTGGACAGATATGAAATATTAAAAGCCACCCACGAGTGTCCGCTGACCGATTTCCTTCGGCGGAACATCCTTGGCCTGCGATAATAAAATTATGTTATCAGAAATATGTACCGAAGGGAAATGAATGGGAATTTAGAAATGTCTTTTCGAGGCGACGTTGGCCGTGTTAAGAAGACCACACATTCTGATAATTGGCGATAAAATAATTGACGAAGACCAGGTGTAGAACAAGAGTTATGACCACCGCCGTTGCGGAAATGGGAAAATAAAAGGAAAAAAAAAAAAGAAAGATAATTAGGAGTTAAGCAAAAAGAAACAAAGCCGCGGATTCGTCCAAAAAAGACATCATTGGTAATTTTTTAGTTAGGAAAATAATTTTTTTTCAAGAAACTGAAAAGCCGCGGATTCGTCCACGCCTGACTAAGACATCATTGGTCAAGTGGTGATCACGTGACGCACGAAGGAGGCTGTTTCCGCCTCATTCAGATTATAGGTATGAGAAGCCGCTACGAAGAAGTGGGGAGGGCAGTTCACGCCCTCTGAAGTATGGTGAGAAGGTGGGAGTGAGGAAAGGTTCCCAAAAATGGAAAAAAGTGGAAATTCCTAACCAGAGAGGTGGATATTTATTTAGAATTATCGAGGAAACCCCGACGCCGACAGACCCACCCCGGTTTTGGTCGGCGTCCATATAAGCGAAGCTAAAACGAGCAGAAATCAGTTCCAGTGAGTTCAGTTCCAGTTCCAATTTCAGTTTGAGTTGGAGTTGCAGCGAAGAGTCAGTCTCCAGTTGAAGCCGCCTCTCAGATAGCTGACCAAGATTCACGCAAATTCCGGACTCCTCTTCAATCCAAGAACAATTATTTTGAAGAGCGACTTCGATCCAGACCACCGAAATAAGTTTTTTTCGACTTTCGTCCAAAAACACACC